CTAATGAACGCCACAATGTGTCCTATAGACTGGTACTCTAATGAACGTCACAATGTGTCCTATAGACTGGTACTCTAATGAACGCCACAATGTGTCCTATAGACTGGTACTCTAATGAACGCCACAAGACCATGTGTCCTATAGACTGGTACTCTAATGAACGCCACAAGACCATGTGTCCTATAGACTGGTACTCTAATGAACGCCACAAGACCATGTGTCCTATAGACTGGTACTCTAATGAACGCCACAAGACCATGTGTCCTATAGACTGGTACTCTATTGAACACCACAAGACCATGTGTCCTATAGACTGGTACTCTAATGAACGCCACAAGACCATGTGCCCTATAGACTAGTACTCTAATGAACGCCACAATGTGTCCTATAGACTGGTACTCTAATGAACGTCACAATGTGTCCTATAGACTGGTACTCTAATGAACGCCACAATGTGTCCTATAGACTGGTACTCTAATGAACGCCACAAGACCATGTGTCCTATAGACTGGTACTCTAATGAACGGCACAATGTGTCCTATAGACTGGTACTCTAATGAACGCCACAAGACCATGTGTCCTATAGATTGGTACTCTAATGAACGCCACAAGACCATGTGTCCTATAGACTGGTACTCTAATGAACGCCACAAGACCATGTGTCCTATAGACTGGTACTCTAATGAACGACACAAGACCATGTGTCCTATAGACTGGTACTCTAATGAACGCCACAAGACTATGTGTCCTATAGACTGGTACTCTAATGAACGCCACAAGACCATGTGTCCTATAGACTGGTACTCTAATGAACGCCACAAGACCCTGTGTCCTATAGACTGGTACTCTAATGAACGCCACAAGACCATGTGTCCTATAGACTGGTACTCTAATGAACGCCACCATGTGTCCTATAGACTGGTACTCTAATGAACGCCACAAGACCATGTGTCCTATAGACTGGTACTCTAATGAACGCCACAAGACCATGTGTCCTATAGACTGGTACTCTAATGAACGCCACAAGACCATGTGTCCTATAGACTGGTACTCTATTGAACACCACAAGACCATGTGTCCTATAGACTGGTACTCTAATGAACGCCACAAGACCATGTGCCCTATAGACTAGTACTCTAATGAACGCCACAATGTGTCCTATAGACTGGTACTCTAATGAACGTCACAATGTGTCCTATAGACTGGTACTCTAATGAACGTCACAATGTGTCCTATAGACTGGTACTCTAATGAACGCCACAATGTGTCCTATAGACTGGTACTCTAATGAACGCCACAAGACCATGTGCCCTATAGACTAGTACTCTAATGAACGCCACAATGTGTCCTATAGACTGGTACTCTAATGAACGTCACAATGTGTCCTATAGACTGGTACTCTAATGAACGCCACAATGTGTCCTATAGACTGGTACTCTAATGAACGCCACAAGACCATGTGCCCTATAGACTAGTACTCTAATGAACGCCACAATGTGTCCTATAGACTGGTACTCTAATGAACGCCACAATGTGTCCTATAGACTGGTACTCTAATGAACGCCACCATGTGTCCTATAGACTGGTACTCTAATGAACGCCACAAGACCATGTGTCCTATAGACTGGTACTCTAATGAACGCCACAAGACCATGTGTCCTATAGACTGGTACTCTAATGAACGCCACAAGACCATGTGTCCTATAGACTGGTACTCTAATGAACGCCACAAGACCATGTGTCCTATAGACTGGTACTCTAATGAACGCCACAAGACCATGTGTCCTATAGACTGGTACTCTAATGAACGCCACAAGACCATGTGTCCTATAGACTGGTACTCTAATGAACGCCACAAGACCATGTGTCCTATAGACTGGTACTCTAATGAACGCCACAAGACCATGTGTCCTATAGACTGGTACTCTTATGAACGCCACAAGACCATGTGTCCTATAGACTGGTACTCTAATGAACGCCACAAGACCATGTGTCCTATAGACTGGTACTCTAATGAACGCCACAATGTGTCATATAGACTGGTACTCTAATGAACGCCACAAGATCATGTGTCCTATAGACTGGTACTCTAATGAACGCCACAATGTGTCCTATAGACTGGTACTCTAATGAACGCCACAAGACCATGTGTCCTATAGACTGGTACTCTAATGAACGCCACAAGACCATGTGTCCTATAGACTGGTACTCTAATAAACGCCACCATGTGTCCTATAGACTGGTACTCTAATGAACGCCACAAGACCATGTGTCCTATAGACTGGTACTCTAATGAACGCCACAAGACCATGTGTCCTATAGACTGGTACTCTATTGAACACCACAAGACCATGTGTCCTATAGACTGGTACTCTAATGAACGCCACAAGACCATGTGTCCTATAGACTGGTACTCTAATGAACGCCACAAGACCATGTGTCCTATAGACTGGTACTCTAATGAACGCCACAAGACCATGTGTCCTATAGACTGGTACTCTAATGAACGCCACAAGACCATGTGTCCTATAGACTGGTACTCTTATGAACGCCACAAGCATGTGTCCTATAGACTGGTACTCTAATGAACGCCACAAGACCATGTGTCCTATAGACTGGTACTCTAATGAACGCCACCATGTGTCCTATAGACTGGTACTCTAATGAACGCCACAAGACCATGTGTCCTATAGACTGGTACTCTAATGAACGCCACAATGTGTCATATAGACTGGTACTCTAATGAACGCCACAAGATCATGTGTCCTATAGACTGGTACTCTAATGAACGCCACAATGTGTCCTATAGACTGGTACTCTAATGAACGCCACAAGACCATGTGTCCTATAGACTGGTACTCTAATGAACGCCACAAGACCATGTGTCCTATAGACTGGTACTCTAATGAACGCCACCATGTGTCCTATAGACTGGTACTCTAATGAACGCCACAAGACCATGTGTCCTATAGACTGGTACTCTAATGAACGCCACAAGACCATGTGTCCTATAGACTGGTACTCTATTGAACACCACAAGACCATGTGTCCTATAGACTGGTACTCTAATGAACGCCACAAGACCATGTGTCCTATAGACTGGTACTCTAATGAACGCCACAAGACCATGTGTCCTATAGACTGGTACTCTAATGAACGCCACAAGACCATGTGTCCTATAGACTGGTACTCTAATGAACGCCACAAGACCATGTGTCCTATAGACTGGTACTCTAATGAACGCCACAAGACCATGTGTCCTATAGACTGGTACTCTATTGAACACCACAAGACCATGTGTCCTATAGACTGGTACTCTAATGAACGCCACAAGACCATGTGTCCTATAGACTGGTACTCTAATGAACGCCACAAGCATGTGTCCTATAGACTGGTACTCTAATGAACGCCACAAGACCATGTGTCCTATAGACTGGTACTCTAATGAACGCCACAAGACCATGTGTCCTATAGACTGGTACTCTAATGAACGCCACAAGATCATGTGTCCTATAGACTGGTACTCTAATGAACGCCACAAGACCATGTAGCCAGCGGTAGAGCGTTGGTGGCGATGTGAAGCGAGCGGCGCGCAAGCAAGTAAGGGGCAGACAAGCGTGCTAGCGGCTTATCCAGCTGTTTCATTCAATGTTTTGACTGAGAGGTGCGCACATATAAAGCTGGAAGTTCTTTGTTTTTGTTAATTATTTCATTGAAAAACTGCGAGGAGCGAGTTTAAATCTACACCACATACGAGTCATTAGTTTTGTTATTCTGTAAAGCTTTAGGATTATACAGTGGTTTTATTCTGTTCTGTTTGAAATCTAAGGTGAGACCTTGTATTATTTGTTTGCTTTTTTTTAATTTTAAGGATGTAAAAAATGATCTCAAGTGTGCTTTAAGTAGCAGCACAATATTTCGTCGATTGTACTTGACAGTAAAAAAAAATCATACCCTTTTGTTCACCTTTGTCAGTTTGCCTGTGTGGGCTTAAGGTGTTTGTTAAAAAGTCAGTTAAATTGTATCTGACCCGCTAAATTAAAAATTAAACTAGATCTAGAATCTAGAATCTAGATATAGCAAGCCTCAACAGAATATAAACTCTACATACTACATACACTGTACTTGACTGCACTTTAACTACATTTTCAACTACATTCCTAGAATGGTCAAGGGCATTCTGAAAATGTTGTTTTGCGAATAGTTGTTATTTATTATTGTAATGATTATTCGATTTTTAAAATAGTATAAAAAGTATTTTTTTTAAATTTTATGAACTAAAATCAACGCGTACTTTACAGACAGTTGTGAAATGTTGGTATAATAATACAATAATTACAATAATTAAAGACTGAAGTAAAAGTCATTACCTACATTTTTGTTCTCAAAGTGAAGTCATTACTAGATCTACATATTTTATTGTCAATCATGACCTAGATCTATATCTTAATCTATATTTACATATTTTATTCTTAAAGTTACAATTTGATACCTTTTAAACCTAATACTATTGCCGTGACCGGATAATCCCAATACTATTGCCGTGACAGGATAATCCTGATACTATTGCCGTGACAGTATAATCACGATACTATTGCCGTGACAGGATAATCTTGATACTATTGCCGTGACAGGGTAATCATGACAGGATAATCCCGATAATCGTGACACTGTGTTGTTATAGGCTAACAGTATAAAAGTCAATAAAAATACTTGAAATGCCCTAATCTCCTTAGTTAAAACATCACAGAAATTATAGTTTGAATAGGCTCATATATATGCCATGAGAAAAAAACAGTATATGAACTGGTCCATAAGGCAGATGAAGTAGAGCTAATCTGTTTAACTTATCTCGAGATCCGAAGGTATAATATAGACAGCAAAATGCTCAGTAAAACCCCAGTTCTATAGTTTACTAAGTAGTCTCTAAAATCCCAATAGCTATAGTTTAACATACACAGTAGCCTTAATCCCTAAAATCCCAATATCTGTAGTTTAACATGACCAGTAACCTTTGTCTCAAAAATCCCTATAGTTGTAACCTGCTTGAAACTACAAGCCCCTGTCCAAGCCCCCAGCCCAAGCCCCTGTCCAAGCCCACAGTCTCCAAGCCCCTGTCCAAGCCCCCAGTCTCCAAGCCCTTGTCCAAGCCCCCAGTCTCCAAGCCCCTGTCCAAGCCCCCAGTGTCCAAGCCCCCAGTCTCCAAGCCCTTGTCCAAGCCCCCAGTCTCCAAGCCCCTGTCCAAGCCCCCAGTCTCCAAGCCCCTGTCCAAGCCCCCAGTCTCCAAGCCCCTGTCCAAGCCCCCAGTCTCCAAGCCCCTGTCCAAGCCCCCAGTCTCCAAGCCCCTGTCCAAGCCCCCAGCCCAAGCCCCCTGTCCGAACCCCAGTATCTAGTGTACAATGCCAGCCGTTGCACATCAGCAATTAAAATTTCCACTGATCACGTGGCATTTCAATCACGAACACTGCTAAAAATAATTTGCTTTATTAACGTTAAAGTTGTAATTAGATGTAGGCTTTACTAGCAGACGCGGGGTTATGAAAGCTGTTAGACTGTTGCTAGCTTAGTGTCGCCCAAACTGCAAGACTATACGGACTGTGTTAGTCTCTGACTAGTTGGGCGCTGCCTAGACTACAATACTATACGTACTGTGTTAGTCTCTGACTAGTTGGGCGCTGCCTAGACCACAATACTATACGGACTGTGTTAGTCTCTGACTAGTTGTGCGCTGCCTAGACAATAATGCTATACGGACTGTGTTAGTCTCTGACTAGTTGTGCGCTGCCTAGACTACAATGCTATACGGACTGTGTTAGTCTCTGACTAGTTGTGCGCTGCCTAGACTACAATGCTGTACGGACTGTGTTAGTCTCTGACTAGCTGAGGGCTGCCTAGACTACAATGCTGTACGGACTGATATGTTTGAAGGGAGATAATATGCCCTCTTAACGCCGGTAGATTTCCGTGGGTAAAAGAGCGAATGAATAATGGCCCCTTGTTGTGCAAGTCCGTTCATCGGCAAGTTGTTTTGATGTCTCATTTATAATGGTACATTGTAGGTAAATGGTGCATTCATAATGGTGGATTGTAGGTAAATGGTGCAGTCGTTGATTAGAGTCTGGTATTTGCTTGTCTAGTGGGGTCAAGGTCATGTAGTAGCTACAGACTTTGTTCGGAGGGTGTTACGTGTGTAGCCTGTTATGTGCTGATAGGTAGCTTGATTTGCTACTCTAGGTAGCTTGATTTTCTACTCTAGGTAGCTTGATTTTCTACTCTAGGTAGCTTGATTTTCTACTCAAGGTAGCTTGATTTTCTACTCTAGGTAGCTTGATTTTCTACTCTAGGTAGCTTGATTTGCTACTCTAGGTAGCTTGATTTTCTACTCTAGGTAGCTTGATTTTCTACTCAAGGTAGCTTGATTTTCTACTCTAGGTAGCTTGATTTGCTACTCTAGGTAGCTTGATTTTCTACTCTAGGTAGTTTGATTTGCTACTCTAGGTAGCTTGATTTGCTACTCTAGGTAGCTTGATTTTCTACTCTAGGTAGCTTGATTTGCTACTCTAGGTAGCTTGATTTTCTACTCAAGGTAGCTTGATTTTCTACTCTAGGTAGCTTGATTTGCTACTCTAGGTAGCTTGATTTTCTACTCTAGGTAGCTTGATTTGCTACTCTAGGTAGCTTGATTTTCTACTCAAGGTAGCTTGATTTTCTACTCAAGGTAGCTTGATTTGCTACTCTAGGTAGCTTGATTTTCTACTCAAGGTAGCTTGATTTTCTACTCAAGGAAGCTGGATTTGCTACCTAGTCAATGATGATTGGTAGATTGGAGGGACGAGTGTGGTGGGAGTGTGGTGGGAGTGTGGGAGGAGTGTGGTGGGAGTGTGGGAGGAGTGTGGTGGGAGTGTGGGAGGAGTGTGGTGGGAGTGTGGGAGGAGTGTGGTGGGAGTGTGGGAGGAGTGTGGGGGGAGTGTGGTGGGAGTGTGGGAGGAGTGTGGGAGGAGTGTACTACGAGTGTGGTGGGAGTGTGGGAGGAGTGTGGTGGGAGTGTGGGAGGAGTGTGGTGGGAGTGTGGTGGGAGTGTGGTGGGAGTGTGGGAGGAGTGTGGGGGGAGTGTGGTGGGAGTGTGGGAGGAGTGTGGGAGGAGTGTACTGGGAGTGTGGTGAGAGTGTGGGAGGAGTGTGGTGGGAGTGTGGGAGGAGTGTGGTGGGAGTGTGGGAGAGTGTACTGGGAGTGTGGTGGGAGTGTGGGAGGAGTGTGGTGGGAGTGTGGGAGGAGTGTGGGAGGAGTGTGGGAGGAGTGTGGTGGGAGTGTGGTGGGAGTGTGGGAGGAGTGTGGTGGGAGTGTGGGAGGAGTGTACTGGGAGTGTGGTGGGAGTGTGGGAGGAGTGTACTGGGAGTGTGGGAGGAGTGTGGTGGGAGTGTGGGAGGAGTGTGGTGGGAGTGTGGGAGGAGTGTGGTGGGAGTGTGGGATGAGTGTGGTGGGAGTGTGGGAGGAGTGTGGGAGGAGTGTGGTGGGAGTGTGGGAGGAGTGTACTGGGAGTGTGGTGGGAGTGTGGTGGGAGTGTGGGAGGAGTGTACTGGGAGTGTGGTGGGAGTGTGGGAGGAGTGTGGTGGGATTGTGGTGGGAGTGTGGTGGGAGTGTGGGAGGAGTGTACTGGGAGTGTGGGAGGAGTGTGGGAGGAGTGTGGTGGGAGTGTGGGAGGAGTGTGGGAGGAGTGTGGTGGGAGTGTGGTGGGAGTGTGGGAGGAGTGTGGTGGGAGTGTGGGAGGAGTGTGGGAGGAGTGTGGTGGGAGTGTAGTGGGAGTGTGGTGGGAGTGTGGTGGGAGTGTGGGAGGAGTGTGGGAGGAGTGTGGTGGGAGTGTGATGGGAGTGTGGGAGGAGTGTGGTGGGAGTGTGGGAGGAGTGTACTGGGAGTGTGGTGGGAGTGTGGGAGGAGTGTACTGGGAGTGTGGGAGGAGTGTGGTGGGAGTGTGGGAGGAGTGTGGGAGGAGTGTGGTGGGAGTGTGGGAGGAGTGTGGGAGGAGTGTGGTGGGAGTGTGGGAGGAGTGTGGTGGGAGTGTGGGAGGAGTGTGGGAGGAGTGTGGTGGGAGTGTGGGAGGAGTGTACTGGGAGTGTGGTGGGAGTGTGGTGGGAGTGTGGGAGGAGTGTACTGGGAGTGTGGTGGGATTGTGGTGGGAGTGTGGTGGGATTGTGGTGGGAGTGTGGTGGGAGTGTGGGAGGAGTGTACTGGGAGTGTGGTGGGAGTGTGGGAGGAGTGTGGTGGGAGTGTGGGAGGAGTGTGGGAGGAGTGTGGTGGGAGTGTGGGAGGAGTGTGGTGGGAGTGTGGGAGGAGTGTGGTGGGAGTGTGGGAGGAGTGTGGTGGGAGTGTAGTGGGAGTGTGGTGGGAGTGTAGTGGGAGTGTGGGAGGAGTGTGGTGGGAGTGTGGGAGGACTGTAACAGAGTGTGGTGGGAGTGTGGGAGGACTGTAACAGAGTGTGGTGGGAGTGTGGGAGGACTTTAACAGAGTGTGGTGGGAGTGTGGGAGGAGTGTCGCCGAGAGTGTTGAGGGTGAAGGTGATACGAGAAAAACTTTGCTGAAATATTTATTGATGTGAATTTATAATTAAAATAGCTATCGTCACTTGAGTATTATATATACATAAATATACATGCATAAGTTAGTTATACAAAAATCTTCATTAGTCACCTATACATACATGTACGTTAGTCATCATATGTATGGTTGAAACTTCTTTCTTTGTTACCTGACTCTAATTTATACAAGTTTGTGTATAGGGCCTATGACATGATTCACACAAATATTATTGGAACATAACAGGCTAGTGGAGGTGAAATCAGACACAGAGATAAATATATAGACCAGAGAGATAGATACAGACCACAGAGATAGTTATAGACCACAGAGAAAGAGACCACAGAGGTAGATGCAGACCACAGAGATAGATATAGACCTGAGAGATATAGACCAGAGAGATAGATATAGACCACAGAGGTAGATATAGACCACAGAGATAGATATAGACCACAGAGATAGATATAGACCACAGAGATAGATATATACCACAGAGATAGATATAGACCACGGAGATAGATATAGACCACAGAGATAGATATAGACCACAGAGATAGATATAGACCACAGAGATAGATATAGACCACAGAGGTAGATAGACCCAGAGAGATAGATATAGCCATAGAGATAGATAGAGACCACAGAGGTAGATATAGACCACAGAGATAGATAGAGACCACAGAGGTAGATATAGACCACAGAGATAGATAGAGACCACTGAGATAGATAGACAACAGATATATAGACCACAGATATATAGACAACAGATATATAGACCACATATATATATATATAGACCACAGATATATATATATATATATATATATATATATATATATATATATATATATATATATATATATATATATATATATATATTTATAGACAACAGATATATAGACCACAGATATATAGACCACAGATATTGACAACAGATATATATAGACAACAGATATATAGACAACAGATATATAGACAACAGATATATAGAAAACGCACATATATAGACCATTGTTGAATAGCCATCAATCAAGCTCGTAACGTAATCGATACATGCCAACAAAACTGTGTATCGATACATACCAACACAGCTGTGTATCGATACATGCCAACAAAGCTGTGTATCGATATATAAAAACAAAACAGTGTAATGAATGTGAAAGTAATTACAGCAATAAAGTGGTATCGATTTACTGGCCCAGCATTCACCGACTGAACTGCATATGATAATTTGTTTATTTATGGTATAATGCTATAGTTGAGGTGATTTCGTTGGTTTGGGTTTAGTGCTATAATCGTGTTGATTGTGTCAGGGTTTAGTGCTATAATCGTGTGATTGTGTCAGGGTTTAGTGTTATAATCGTGTTGATTGTGTCAGGGTTTAATGCTATAATCGTGTGATTGTGTCAGGATTTAGTGCTATAATGTGTGATTGTGTCAGGGTTTAGTGCTATAATCGTGTGATTGTGTCAGGGTTTAGTGCTAGAATCATGTGATTGTGTCAGGGTTTAGTGGTATAATCGTGTGATTGTGTCAGGGTTTAGTGCTATAATCGTGTGATTGTGTCAGGGTTTAGTGCTATAATCGTGTTGATTGTGTCAGGGTTTAGTGCTATAATCTTGTTGATTGTGTCAGGGTTTATTGCTATAATCGTGTGATTGTGTCATGGTTTAGTGCTATTATAGTGTTGAATGTGTCAGGGTTTAGTGCTATAATCGTGTTGATTGTGTCAGGATTTAGTGCTATAATCGTGTTGATGGTGTCAGGGTTTAGTGCTATAATCATGTGATTGTGTCAGGGTTTAGTGCTATTATAGTGTTGA